AACAACAAACTCACCCCCGAACCACCCCCACACCCCCCCCCCCCCCCCCCCCCCCAGTGGCGATCTGCAGTATTAGTTTAAAGTTCATGTAAACTAGAGGGACATTTTTTTGACTAAAAGCAAAAATACACTTTAGACAATTTCTTTCACAAAATGCCTTCTGCCGACTCACATAGTTCATATTTTATCATATTCATTTTTGTGACGCTATGTTTAGTTCTTATTTGATGCTTTGACGCCATGATTGTGTGTGGCGTATTGGGTGGGACAGCTTTACACAAAGTTGATGTTTTGTTTTTAACTAAATTTTACCTTTTACTTTGCAGTTAATTATTGTGTTGCTACTTTTAATGTCCTATCATTGAAACAAAATTAGTTGCTGCTTTTTTAACCGTAGCCAACAAAGCTCCTGTTTTCAGAGAGGGTTGAAATTGCAAAGGAAAAGCAACTCAGCAGTTTAGTACATCTCTAAGTATATCTGCAGAATCCCTTTGAAAACATAACTGAGGGGGGCTTCATCTTACCTTATAAGCTTAGTTGGCTCTGATGTGTTGGCACCAATGGCCTGATCAGACAACATTTTACATTAGCTTAAAAAAGAAAAAACGTCAGAAAATAATTCCATTGCAACAGGAAAAATGTTGCAAGCTAAAGCTTTCAGTAAGAAAATCTATTTTATTGTTTAAGTGAATGCATTATCCTGATATCTCAGTAACTTGAGCAACATGCTGAAATTCAGTTGATAAAAAAACAGTACTGTAGCAGAAGCTAATAAAAACAACAAATCCAAGTCCATAACTGGCAGCAGGTGCATGTCCATCACCTTCATCCCTCTTCCATTTCCTTACATTGCTGAAGTTGCCTGTTTTTGAGGAAACAGTGTTGAATTATATTTCCTGTTGCCGTTTCCTTTTGGAGCAGTTCAGCAAGCAGGAAGGTAACACTAAAGGGATGCCCAAAGCTTTTAAAAGTAACACAAAAGGCTCACAAACAAGTGCCAGTGTGTGAGGAGACGGCAGTAAACATTTATTGGGGATATAGACAAGCTATGAAAAGCTAATTAAAGTGGACTCTGTGACCTTAAAAAATCCACTGAAGGTCATAACACACCTGCATGAATACATGCCAAAAAATACATAAAATAAATGATCTCCTTTATTTTAGTAACGACCACCACACAGCAGTGATGGCTGGCTCTACGGTGCAACGCTAAGTGACACGTCTCAACTTGGTCGTATTTTTAGTGACTTGCTGTGATAACATTTAAATAAAGGAAACAAATTTGAGCTGCACATTGTTGTCATTTATTGGCCCAATGCTGGTGAAATGGTCAATTATGAGTACTCGGTACTCGGCCACTTTAGACATTAATGGTGGTAACTCAACTTGAGTAGTTAATTGTAGGGGGAGAGGGGCAAAGAGAATTTAGAGCTGTTTGAGATGCTTTCAATAATTACCTTTTTTAAATAGAATATATGTAGCATTTTAGCCCACCCTACTGAACACAGCTGAGGCTAATCATATTGCCAGCACCGAAATGACCAACTTCAACATTTCCACATCTGGCTCTGCAGTTGCTTTAGTCTCTGTGTGTTTCAGGGCTTCAAGATGCAGTCACAAAAGTCACTTATGCTGTGTCGTTTTCAACTCGAACATCAAACAAAACTAAATCAGCTGCATTCGATTATTGTGAAGTCCCTGGCAGGACATTGTAAAAAAAAAAGAAGAAGAAAACACAAAAGCAAATGTTTTTGATGACAGATCTAAACTGTGGTGGTCAGAACACACACACAAAGGCTTGCAAAAAATGCAGGAGAAAGATATTTTACACCATGTGTAGGTGGTAATATTATTTTGCACTGTAGTTCACTAAAGGCAATTTAAAAAAAAAAAAAAACTATACCGGCGGTGAGAAACATCATTAAAGATTATAGACTTACCTGTTCATAGATAATTTGCTGATTTGCAGCAAAAATCAACACCGAAGATAGCTATTAGTATTAGGTTTTAGATTGGCATCCTGATTTATTATTATTTTTAACTAGATTTTAGTTACAAAATGAAGACTTTGTTGGCAAAAAGTTAAACTGACTTGTTTTTTATGTCTTAGAGGAAATTGAGCATGGACTTTGTTGTTAGAGGAAATAGTTTTAGGCCCCATCCACACTCTGGGATATTTAATTGTTCTGCTGAGAGATACTGTAGTTTCAGGTGATTGTTAGGAACACTTCCCAAAGGTAAAATTTTAAATGTCATTTTCAGTGGGTATATCTAGACTCAAGAAACTGAGCTTTTAAGAACAATGATGTAGAATGATGATGTAACATTGATGTATTGATGTATAACATTTTGTATTGAACGCTTATTTGAGAACATTGATGTAGATATCAGCCTATTTTGACACATACCATGAGTACTTCGCATCCTAGAAACCAAAACAACAATGGAGCCATTTTACATTTAGTTTTTTCTTCTTAATGTCTGTTTTACATTTTTCCAATCCTATCAGTGTCTCAAACACATAAGTCTCAGGAAAAATTTTAATCTCAAAGCATTTTAGCTCTTTTATCAGCAGCTGCTCTGAACTGAGACAAATCCAGTCTAACTTGTCCACATCAGTCCCTGAAGAGAAGCTCCTACTGTTGTCTTGACTCACCTGACTCATTCGCATCCTGCGCCTTGACTAAGATGATGTGGATAGATTTGTCGCCTGATGGCACTCCACCTTGTGGAACGGACACAGGCTTTCCCAGGTCAAAATGCAATGTTGTTCCAGGAGGGACTCCATCTTTAAAAACCAGTGCAGTTTGTTTGTCCACTTCCATGGTGCTGGTGGGGAGGCCTGATTCTGGCGTGACAATCTTTAGAGAGGATGAAGGACTTGGAGTTGCCTCCAGCGATGAAGTTTTCATACCTGTGGTGACTTCTGGAGGTCTACTCAGTCTGGTTTCTGTGGTCACCTCTTCTCTTACTGGTGAACTGGAGCTGACATTTTCGTTATCCAGGTGTACAAGTTGTGAGCTGGGTTTTGATAAAGGAGGGAGCTCCATTGGGGTCAAAATTGGCACAGACTCTAACTTGACGTTGTGTTCTTCAGAATCGTAGTCATCGAAGGTGGTAGAGGGGGTTGCCAAGGTTGTGGTGTGAGGGGAAGTGAGGTCTGCTTGTGGGATCTCTGTTGGTGAATATGGGGAAAGTTCTGGTCTTCTGGTTCGAAGTTCTGTTCTCTCAGGGTGGAAGGGTGCTAGAAGGTCTATGGACATGTCAAGTTTTTTCAAAGGTGGACTTGTCTGTGCACTAACAGTGGTCGGTTCTGGTAATTTAGCTGTAAGACAAAAGAATATTGAAGAAACATTTCAGTGATTGAAAGGTAAATTACCCATTTGATTCTACTGTACATTAAGCAGACACCTTCTCTGCTCAGGTTTGACCCAAACCACGCGATAAACCACCAATGGATGTTGTAGTTATGAACAATTTTATTTTCAAGAGTGACTACAGGATTTTGATATACGTTGTTCTTTTTTCCCCTGCCTAAAGAGTAAAGGGCTGATCTGCTTTGGAAAATTATATGTAATCTGTCATTAACAGGCTTTAGCATCCAAAGCTAATCTACTTTACAAAATAACAGTCTGGTCAAATGAACAACAGTCAAATCAATGAAAATGATGTTTACAGAATGAATAAGCACTTTCATGAGTCATCCAAAAGAAAACGGTGCTATCTGAAAAACGCTAATCCTGCGGCTGTCAGGCTGTCGTTGGTTTGCAGCAGGCTATAAAAGGTAATGTGGCAGTCTGGATTTTTGGGGAAGGTGAAGTCATCTGGGAAAAATGAAATCATTTCAGGAAAGGAGCCTGCTGTCAAAAGAATAACAGTCGCAGTAGTGACTCACTTTAAGAGACATAAACAGACTTCTACTAGCTGGCTGCCATGTTTATTTTTATTTATTTGTCCAAGTCACCTCAAGGAACTGTTACGACTAAATAAGTGATAAATATCTCTTGGCACACTATTATCTATTACCGTTTTGAGGGACTCTGAGACATTTTGTGTCTTGTGATGAACATACAAAACTGCCTTGAAAACTTGAGTACTTAGTATATTTTATGTGTTGTAGAAACAACTTATTTTTCTTCTTCTTCTTTTGGTTTTTCCCTCTTCAGGGGTCTCCACAGCGAGTCATCCTCCTCCATTACTCTGTCCTCACTCCAACTACCTCCATGTCCTCTCTAACTGCATCCATATATTTCCTCTTTGTCTTTTTCCTGGCAGCTGCATTTCTAACATCCTTCTACCAATAAACCCACTGTCCTTCCTCTGGACATGTCCAAACCACCTCTCTAATTTTATCTCCCAGCTGTTCAACCTGTGCTGTACCTCTGATGATCTCAATCCTAATCTTATCCATCCTTGTCACTCCTTAGGAGAACCTGAACACCTTCATTTCTGCCACTTTCAGTTCTTTATCTCGTCTTTTTGTCAGTGTCACTGTCTCCAGACCATACAACATAGCTGGTCTCACCACTGCTGTAAACTTTTCCTTTGACATTTTCTGACACCCTTTTGTCACAACTTACTCCTGAAACGTTTCTCTAGCCACTCCATCCTGCCTGGACTCTCTTCTTCACCTCTTTACAGTGGACTTCAAGTACTTGAAGTCCTGCACCTTTGTGACCTCTGCTCTTGGTAGCCTCACTGTTCCACCAGCCTCCCTCTCATTCACACACATGAGCTCTGTCTTACTACGGCTGACTTTCATTCCTATTCTTTCAAGTGCATACCTCCACCTCTCCCAAGTTCTCTTCCACCTGTTCCCTGTTCTCACCACAGATCACAATGTCATCTGCAAACATTGTAGTCCACGAGGATTCCTGTTGTTGTAGAAACGAGTAATAAGCTTTGAAAACCCCTGACACAATAATCCAGTGGTGCCAAAGAAATTTAGCTTTTAACCCACAAAACTAAAGTTAATTTAGTTCTAACCACTTTAACCATACCAGCACATTTTGAAGGCACTAAAATTAGAAACACTCTCACATACAAAAAGGACAGATCCGTATTTCATGTATACTTAGTACCATATATTCCTAAAAGTTTTAAATTTTTAAGTTCAAACAAAATAGGATGAAATAGCACAAAAAAAAAAAAAAAACTTAAATTCGTAATGAATTGTGAAAGTGCCATACTTATCTTTTAAATGGCTGGATGTCCATGTGTCAACACAGGACAGGAATAAATCATAACCAAATCTATGTTTTGTTTTTTTTTGTTTTTTTTATTGCACTTCCCATGCATAGTAACTATTAACGTAAATAAAAGCAGATTGAATTTCAGGAACCAGAGTCTGCACATTAAGAATGGAGGGCTGTATCATTAATAGCTCTAGCTGCAGACCCTCTAACTTGCTAACAGGCAGCTGTCAATCACAATGCGACTAGACTTTTTACAGCCCCCAAACACTAACTGAAACAAAATGTTTCACAACTCATATGATAAAGCAGCAAGATAAAAAAAAATGCATGATTCAATAGTAATCAATAACAGTTTGCAGCCAGGTACTAGGAGGTATTAATTAGTCCTTAGCGGCTTCAACTTCCAGTTTCTAGCTCAAACCTGCGGCTTGTAACCCAAATGTGCTTTCAATTAAGAACAAATTGCAATTTGAAAGACACACCAAACTAAAACTACTCAAGCATATCTAGAAAATAGTTCAATAATAACAAAATAGAAAAAATAAAAGGCCCTGTCCAATTCAGTCTGTCGCCTAACTCTTACTTCTTGATATAATACATTTCGATTTAATTGAATTTTTAAATCAAATTAGTTTATTTTTTAATAATTCATTAATTATTTTTTATACAATGATGAGATGATGATGAAGAGTGAAAATGGTAACTATAAGTTTTTTTCCACGTGGTGTTTTTGTTTTTAAACCCCTATTTGTAATTAATTAATTCATTTATTAATTCATTTATTGTCTAGTTAGCTGTTTGGTTTAAAAAAAAAAGGTTTCTTGTAGCCTTTTCCAAAAAAAAAAAAAGTATTTTCTGTTCAATATTATTTAAAATGGGCATAAATCTGGGCTCTTTTGGAAGGTAATAAAATTATAACATTAAATTTATGACTGTTTCTTAAAGACACTCCAAAACATCAGAAACATCTAATCCAGTCTGGATCACACTCCTCCATGTATGATCGAAATGATATTTAATAAAGGATATATTTAAAATTAAAAATAATGTATAAATGAATGGAAGTGTAGGTTTTAAACAGGATGAGAACACAATACATCTATCCTGGGTTATTATCACTTCAATACATGTTGAGCCCAGCCCAGATATGATGTCATGTGTTTGGCGAGCAGCAGACAACTGGCTGAACTGGGATCTTTCACTTTACTTTTACATTTACTCCTGCAGCGCTGCCACCTCACTTAAAGCTTGGCACCAAACGTACCAGGACCTTCAGAAAGTACCTCTGCTCTGCCAGACCTGGGACTGCAGTTTTATTGGGTGTAAATCATCGTGCTGGTGTACTTTTCTCTGGAAAGAGCTGACCTATTTGTTAACGCTTCTTTAAAATAATGTTACCTTCAGGAAAATGCCCCCTCTTTTCCACTTCCTCCGTCTGTCTGTCGGTGCTTTTTGGGCACGGTCCAGCATTTTCTGCTCTATCTGTGTTTGAGTGCCTGCGCTGGGTTTTCCCCCTCATAAAAGGCCCGCTCCATCATAACAGGGCAGAGGGATGTTATTCTTCCCCTGTTTAGGTTCAAATCTGTTTGTTCTTCCTCATCCCCATCTGTTACCATGCCTTGTTTTGAAGAATGGAGACGTATGAAACTGAACCGTTAGTGGAGGCAGACTGTGGCTTGTTTGTGCTGCAACACACTCCAGAGTTTATTTAAAGTTTTCTAGTGGGCATCTGAACATGTGGAGAAGAATTACTTATCTCTGCAGTGGGTTTCAAAATATTTTGGTTGCAAAGGTATTTACCCCCCCCATTGGCATTCTCTCTGTTTAGTTTTTCTTTAACCCACTGGGATTTTGCTTTAGTTGTGTTCAGGTTCATTGTCCTGCTGGAAGGTGAACCTTTGTCCCAGTCTCAAATTTCTGAAAGACTCAAATGCTTCCACCAAAAGGTTCAAAATATTTTGCTCCGCCCCTCTTTCCTTCATCTCTGACCAGTTTCTCAGCTCACGCTGATGAGGAATATCCCCATATCATGATGCGACCAGCACCATGCTTCACTTGTTTTATGCCCAAAAGGAGGATCATTTTATTTACATTTTGTTTCACTTGTAAACTTTTAAAATTCAACAAAAATAAATCCATTTGAAAGACGTGTGTTGAGACAAACTGTAGAAATGACAGCATTAGAACCAAACAGAGGTTGGTGGAAGTTATATTCTGATCTAAGGTGATAATTTAACCTACAAAAAGCAATGCTTGTTATTTAGAAATATTTTTCCTCCAACATACTGTTTTCTGTATTTGTGCTGCTGATGTGGACCATATGACAATGGAAGCATCATTGTCACCTTCACTAGTCTAAGTGGAGGAGTTTAAGTATCTTGGGGTCTTGTTCACGAATGAGGGCAAAATGGAGCGAGAGATCGATAGGAGGATAGGTGCGGCATCTGCAGTGAAGCGTGCGCTGTACCGGTCTGTTGTAGTGAAGAGAGAGCTGATTCAAAAGATGATGTTTTTTAGTTTTTACCTTTAAAACAGAAAGCCCCATATGTGTTCGTTGGGTCGGGGTATCCAGTTTGGTTTTGGTACTTGTAGAGCGTATGGACCCCCAGCATGCCTCCTCCACACTGAGGCAAAGAGACGGTGATGGGGAACCGGACACTACCATCAGCCAGCCAGCCGTAGTCGCAGCGGTTCAGCCCTGCCCTCCAGGCTGCAAACAGCTGACCGGGCGACGCCAACACAGCATCGTGTTTCTCACACTCCTCCTTCGCCTGCTGCCAGGTGAGCTTATCATCGAGAGAGGGAGGATAGAAAACCTCACCTGCAGACAGAGTAGACACAGCAAGTCAGGAAAATATGGGACTAAATTTAAATAGATCCTCTGTTTCCAAAGTTTTGGTCAAAGTTAAGCATCATGAAGACTTCATGTTCTGTATTACTCTGAATATTGACATTTATGTTTACATGTCATGGTTTACACCTGTATGTACTACTGTCAGGACAAAAACAGTGACTGACAATATCCAGTAAACAAAGAAAATCTAAGAAATAAAATCATTTAAAAACTTGAAGAAGAAAAAAAAAGCAGAAAACATTTGTAAATATTCAAACTATTTAAATGTATACAAACAAATGATAATTCATATTAAAAAAATCGGAATTATTTCTTTAAAAATATATTTGATAAATTAGGAAAAACTGAAATTCAACACAGTACACGTTTTGAAAATTTTGAAAAAAAACAAACCAAATTTTCAGTGCTGTAAGAAAACTCTGCAAATAAAAGGCGTAAAATGCACTGAAATTTACAACGGATGTTTAACCAAAAGTCATAAAACGCAAACTATTTTTTGCTCACCGTTTAGTTTATCCACAAAGCAGTACACATCATATTTCTCAGCGGGGTCCCGGAGGCCGTACGTCCTGACACCAGGTCTTTGTAACAAATCACCTGCACAGCCTGGACGAGGAACAGTGATCGGATATCTGGAAAACAAACGCATCAAAAGACCAGCAGAGTTTAAATAAACTTTACTTTTTAAAATGATTCATTATGAGATACAAAGTGAACCAATCCTGAAATTTATTACTAAATATGTACTGATTGCAGACTTACCAGATTTGCATCCTTCAGCTTCAAATTAAACTGTTTAATTAGAATTCTGTTACGAGTAATAAGACAAATGAGTGGAGAAGCAGGATTGTTCACCTGACTGTCTGGTCAGCGAGCCAGCCTGCATCACATTGGTCCAAGCCGTCCTCGAAAGCAGCAGTCAGCTGATCAGGTGTGGCGATGGCAGCATCCACAGAGCGACACGCCTCAGAGGCTGCAAGGAAGTCCAGGGAGTACCGGCTGCTTTTGGCTCTGTAGTGGAACACCACGCCTGAAAAGAGATCGTCAGCTGTCAGCAGGGCAAACGTGGCCTTCAGCAACTATCTGAGCGAGGCAGCAAAACACGAAACAGAACACAAAAAATAAACGAAAAGCTAAGCAAAACGGGAGGAGTATATAAACAGTACATAAACAAAAACTGTACTCAAGGGAGTAGAAATTTTACATTAAAAAAAGGAGGAAAATGATTGAAAACTATGACAAAATGTAGAAAATTTTTCAAAACTATATAAGTAAAACTAAAAAACATACGAAAACATTAAATAAGGACCAGAAAGTACAAACTGATTGAATTAAAACAATGCAAAAGTAAAAGCCAAGTGTTTCTTAAAGGAGCACACACACACCTTTAAACAGAGTGCAGTTGTTGCAGAGGTTAAAGGTGGACCAATTGGGTGCACCGATTGCAGTTTTCTGGCCGATCACCGATTTCTAAAAAGTCTGAGCTGCCGATATCGATTTAGTTTTATAAGCGGCACTGTCATGTGTTATAAGGTCACAATGCACCTTCAATTTTCCAATATTCTTTTGTTGAAAAACATACCCCATGAACAATATCCAAGAAACAATACAAACTTGTTTTAATTGCATTAGATAGTGCTCTGAAATATAAATGAAGTTCAGACTGTTGTTAAAACAAACAAACAATAAAAAGGTAAAATCGGTTTCTCGTGCAAGTATCGGCCGATTTCCGATTTCCCTAAAATTAAGGAAATCGGGCGGCCGATTTATCGGTGCACCCCTGGTTGTTGTCCTTTGGATTAACCCTTGAAAATAACATTATCTTAATAAATATTGTGAGAGGTCATGCTCAGAGTATTTCCTGATAATGTCTCTCAGCTGCCACTTTGTATTTTAGCTCGATCTCTGTAAACTGACAGAGTTAGAGCCATCCTTTGATATTTTACTGTAAGTTTCGTTACCGTTTTGTTTCAGTAGTTTTTGAAACATTTTAATAACAGACAGACACACGCACATACAAACATGAACAAAAACATTATTGCAAAATGTTGTGGGATAATATTTTTGTGCCAAAACAGCGCTATAACATTACCAGCGCTCACGTTTGGAATTAGAAAAGAGAACGATGGGAAAAACAAAGAATGATGTAAAATGTCTTCAACTTTTTTTATTCCTTGCGGCTGCTCTCTTCTTCAGGGGTCACCACATTGAACCAAGTCGCACAAAGACTTTGCAGTTATTTTAACACCGGATGTCCTTCCTGACACAACCACAGATACCGAGCTACCACAGCCCTCTGTGTGGAGCAGAGAGCTGCCATCTAGGATGCCCGAGGGAGTAAATGGTGGCAGTTAAGGGCCTTGCTCAAGGGCTCAGGGTGGGGCAAATGAGGGTGGAGGCAGGTGGGTGCTTCACCTATCCCACCCACATTTTGATGTTGTCGGAGTTGAAGCGGCAATTTTCTGATCACAAGCCCACCTTCTCTAACCTCTGTGCCACCACTCCCCATGAAAAAATGTCTTAAAACAATAACTTAAAATTGAAAATATATTTGTTTAAAACTTTGTCTTTTTTCCTTAAAAAATGATTTATCATAGAAAAACATTTTATTGCGCAAAACTATAAAGATTTCTAAATAAAATAGAAGAAAATTTTATTATAAAATGTCCCAAACTTTAATAAAAAGTGGTTAGAAATAATGACATTTACAGTTTTTTAAGTCTTCGCCTGAAGTCCTGATTAGGGATCCACTTTTTTTTACTTCCAATACTGATACCAATATCTATGGTTTACATCGGTCGATACCGATCCGATACCGATCTGATACAGAAAAAAAAACTGTGCCGAATTAACTTAAAACATTTGTTTTTTAAACGCACACATAAATGTACTGAATTACTAATTTATTGAAAACTCTGCACTAGTACAGCACACTTAAAACACACCAGTAGCTTCACAAGCTTGGTCAAACATGTAAAACAACACAACTTTAATTTGTTCAGTCAGTGCAATTATGAGTGTAACATCCAATGTAAAATAAATAATAATAAAGATACTGAAACTGAAAAACAATAGGTTGACAACTTTGGCAAAACATAAAAAAATTAACTTCAACAAACCTTTCAAATGGTTCAGGAATTCTAAATATAATGTAAAATAAATAATAAAGGAGCTGAAATAAGAGGAAAAAACAACAGTTTCACTAGCTGGCAGATATTTTAAATAAACAGCAATCAACTCCTGTTCTTATGGATCGTCACATTGTCACCGATACCCGATCCAGAATTTTGCAATATCGGTACCGATACTAATATCGGATCGGTGCATCTCTAGTCCTGATGTCAAGGTTCTACCAACCTGCACCCCTCCCCCCACCCACCAAACGATTATCAGTGTAGGAATGAATACAAAAACAATGTTGTAAATAGAATGCTAACAGTTATCGAGAAAGAATGATAAACACTGTAAGCAGAACCTGAGATGTTACAAAGGTGCTATACGAGTAGTCATTAACTTGGCGCATTCACCAACATGAGAAAAAAGATAGAAGGCAAAAAGAATCCACATGTCAGAGACAACCTGTCATCCACAGAGATTTATAATGACAGCAGATAGATTTACAGCTGACAGAATCTGATGGCTGCGGCAATACATGACAGCACTGACAGAAAGATGAAGCAGGGAGCCATTTCAGCTGTCATCTCCGGACTATACATCACTGTAGTCTTGTCATTAGGTCTGAAGGATCAGTTCTCATGTGTGGGGAAATCCTGGCAAAACAACGGGAGGACGTGAAAGGATGTCTGAGCTCTTAAAAGGAGAGTTGTGTGTCAGTCATAGGGAGGTTCTTTGTTCGGACGCCCCCGTCAAAGAGATCTGTTCAGCATTAATGTGGAATCTATGTTAATGTCTGGGACAGCAGCTCGACTCAGATGTTGGTGGAATTGTTTCCATGAGATGAAATGCAACTGGTGGATCCTAAAAATCTTTGGTGTTCCCAAAAAAAAAAAAAAAAAAAGCCTAGTGTGCAGTGTGTTGTCCAGCTGTGCTGAGCTGAGGTTAAATCAAGTTTATTACATGTAGATGAATTCAGTGTTAAAAAAAAAAAACCCATCAAATAAAACTTTGTTTTAGTGATTAATTTATTTAATCTTTACTACTTGCAGTGGAATTTAATTCAGGGATCACCATCAGTGGCATCACAAGCAAGATTTTTCTTTTTGTTTGCTGCTCTGGAGCATACAGGTTTGTGTAACACAATGCCAAGATGGAACTACATCAACAATGACCTTAGAGATGCAACTTGTCAATCTAGGAAGGAATAAAAGGCCAATTTCAAACAATTAAGAGTCCATTACTTAAGAAATAATGCTTCTTCAAAAGTTAAAAATAACACACAAGACTGGTGAATATCCCAGCAAAATTCACCCCAAAGTCAGACTGTGTAATGCTCAGAAAAAAGCAAGAAATGTTTGATTCTACTTGTCAGTTTTTCCAGGACTCGGTTAGCATATTAAATGTTAAAGTTCATGACGAAAAATGGGAAAGTTGAACTTGTTTGTATGAATGGGTTGCCAGGAGAAAGCCTCTTCTCTAAAGAGACGACAACGCAGCTTAAGTTTTCTCATTGACTCTGAACTTTACCGTATTCCAAAATATGTTCCGTCAAATGTGAGGCCATCTGTTTGACAGCAGAAACTTGGCTTGAACTTGATGATAAAATAGAACAGGGATTCCAAACACAGCAATGACTCTACAGCAGTGGTTGAAAAAGAGAGGTTTTACCCCTCCTGACCAGAAGGGGGCAATATATTATTGTATGTACATTATAATAAAGACCAGAAAATTGCACACGTGTGCCGCTCCATTTACCTTAAAAGTTAGAACTTGGATCTGATGATGGCATGATAACTTTACCACGATTACATTGCAACAATAAAAACAGCCGAATTTGGTAATTTGCCAACTACATTTAACAAAACAAGTCAACAACAATGGACTGATTTTAATTCAAACACTGTAGCATGTGCATCACTGATTCAACAAGAAAAAAATGAAAAAAGTTAAAAGGAAAAAGTTTATTAGTGCAACTATGATCACGTTTCATGTGCAAGGCAGCCATTTAAAATTCTGAGGTCGGAGGTCTTTTTTTTCCTTTTCAAGTGAAGATACTGACTTCAGAGGTTCAGAAATTCAGATTTATTTATTTATTTATTTTTAGTCAGTTTTGATGTCATAGAGTCCAACTTCAAACTGAGTCAAAAAGCGAAGCTCTCAATTTACCGGTCAATCTACGTTCCTACCCTCATCTTTGGTCATGAGCTTTGGGTTGTGACTGAAAGAACGAGATCTCGGATACAAGCGGCTGAATTGAGTTTTCTCCGCAGGGTGTCTGGGCTCTCCCTTAGAGATAGGGTGAGAAGCTCGATCATCCGGGAGGGACTCAGAGTAGAGCCGCTGCTTCTCCACGTCGAGAGGAGCCAGTTGAGGTGGCTCGGGCATCTGGTTAGGATGCCTCCTGGACGCCTCCCTGGTGAGGTGTTCCGGACACGTCCCACCAGGAGGAGCCATAGAGGAAGACCCAGGACACACTGGAGGGACTATGTTTCTCGGCTGGCCTGGGAACACCTTGGGATTCCTCCGGAGGAGCTGGCCCAAGTGGCTGGGGAGAGAGAAGTCTGGGCCTCCCTACTTAGGCTGCTGCCCCTGCGACCCAGCCCCAGATAAGCAGAAGAAAATGGATGGATGGATGGATGGATGGATGGATGGATGGAAGTCCAACTTCTAAAAACAAATGGAACGCACCAACAATTATCACCAATTGCTCCCCGTGTGCTTTCAATAGCTGCCCACTGCTCCACTTGGGGGTGGATGGGTTAAATGCAGAGTCAATTTTGCCATTGTATGGGAACATACAATGATAACAACACATTGTTATTATTATAGTATAAACAAAATTAAATTCTGCATTTTGAAATTAGGTATTGTAATACTGTATAGTTATAACTTTGCACATTTATCATTATTGTAATTGTTGGAGCCTTGCACACTAAAAATAGCATAAACATGTCGTATTATCTTAATGTTTAAAAGTGCCAAATATGAAATGATACATCTATTGGTTGATTATTTGGTGTATTTTTAGTCTGAAGCCTTTCTCAAAAACCAGTTAAAAACAAAAAAGCCATTGTCCAACAGTCTCCATCCGTGTTGTCATTGAAAAAACAAGGTAATGTTCACAGATGTGCTCAGTTGCTAATCAATGGATAGCTTGTTGTGCACAAGAGCCTTTACGACCCAAACACATCCAGCTGTTTGGTCAGAAAAACTGCAATACTTTCTTTGTTCATGTAAAACGAGCCACTAAACAGACGTTATCCAAATGTCTTTCATGGTGACAGCACAGATCATGGGAAGAAAAACCTGAACTGCAGATGACTTTGAAACGCTCGGCAGTGGCGTCTTCTTCAGGACGCCTTTGTTGGGGTTTTGCTTTGTAAAAGATGGCATTTCTGAAAAGAGAACCTACAAAAGTAATTTTCTTTTGAACAAAAGATTGAGTGTTGTGCATGCTTGACTTTATATTTCCACATCATGCTGATGTTAGCTGGCCTGGCTTCAGGTTAGCTGACTTTAGACAGACGAGTTAAAGAAATGACGGTAACAAAATTCAGAGCACATCTCATTGACGCAGGAGCCTTAAAAAAAGGCATGTGGAGGAGGTTTGACAATTGTTGACACCTTTAGCTTTGAAGTTACTGCCAGTGGTGCACATCTGGATGCAGTCACTGAGCTTGTAGACTCCTGATACAGAGTGTTAATGTGCTTGTAAAAGCTAAGCAGCACTGTTTTACTCACCAGAGACACTGAGGCTGATGGTATCCTGGGTGTCCTCTATCCCATGCGTCACCTCGCAGCGGTACAGCCCTGCGTCACTCGCCCTGACCCTCCCAATGATCAGAGAAGCATCTCCAGTCGCCAGTGGGTAGTAGGGTACAGACACCCTGCCCATGAAGCCCAGTCCCACCTTCACCATCCCATCATGGGACACCAGCACCACCGTCTCTTGCGACTCTTCCGGCTTCTCCCAATTCTCCACCTTCACCCACTTGATTCTGAGCAGCTCATTGGGACTCAGACTGTCAGCAGGTGCAAGTGCTGGTGTGTCTGTGGGGCTGTTGGGAGCATCTGACATCATGGAGAAGCGACAGGGCAGCACCACTTTGCTGGCCAGAGAGCCAGTTGTCTGCCTGATCTTCTGCATCTTCACTGTCGTGTGAGAAGAAGCTGGAGAACAAGAGGATGCATGCAATTGTTGTTAACACGAAGTATTCTGCAGAAACATATTCATTCATATTATTTTACTTTGCAGTTTAAACATCTACATGAAATGCATTCACTTCTGCTTCAATGGAGTAGGCAAATGGCGAGCATGACCAAGATTGGGGGATGATGTTACGATGCCTGTACCCACTCTTTTATATAGTCAGTCAGAGTTTACAAAAATTGTCATTTTAAGAACTGTATCACCATAAGGTGACATCTAACCAATGCAGGTAGACGTACTCCAAGATTACAACCAGATCTAGTTTTCCATTAGAGTAGATTTGTTGAAAAAGCTAATACTCTCACAGGCCCTGATTTATTTTTGATATTTTTTTTATTAAACAATATACAAACAAAACACCACAAAATCTAAGTACCGGTATGCATATTTTTTATTCTTATGTACTTGATACCCAGTTGAAACTCCAAAAGAGCAGACATGTTCATCATGTTAAATATTTCAACTCATTAAAACCAAATGTGATGCATTGCCTTTGGACCCCATTAAAAAAACGCACAGCATCTGACAACCTATCTTCTTGTGCTGCGACTGTTTAAGGCAAGTTTGCAAAGGACATTTGTGAGGGAGCCTAAAAATCTTGAAATGTTCTAGGGGGTGGCCAATTTCATTTTGGGGTAAAACAAATTATGGCACAAACATTCTGTAAAACTAGTCCCAGAGTTCAACTGGGCTCCTTGTGCCCATTTTGAAACCTTCTTAATACAGTTTCCATCAATCTTAGGGCTCTTTAACTGTATTTTTACCCCTGCACAGGAGCTCTCCTTATGACAGAAAACATCAGAGGCTACAGCCTGAATATCCAGATTGCCACAAATAGTATTTAGTTTATTTTGAAAAATGGTCAAAAATCAGCCCATCTTTTTTAAAGTGTAATCCAGTGGATTAAGTCATGAATGCTGCCAAGGTGGGCACAAAGGAGGCAAACGTTGGTACAATTTTAGTGAAAGCAGGCAGCAAAATTATGTACATGAGCTTAAATACAGTTTTGGAAACTAAGCACAAAAAAATAAGGTGTGATTTTCACAAATAGGCTGTGCAAATATTAAGCTGTTGCACAACTCGTCGTTTACTTATCGTGAACACAAAAATCAGTGAGCTTGCAACTGAAAATGAGCATATTTTCTCACAACTTTGGGTTGCCAAATGTAAAAAGAAGACTGTATTTTGCACAAAATGTTCTGATGCATGCTCAATAATCCAGGTAGATAAATCTAACAAGGTTAAATCAGGTCCTCTGGACGGATGAAGTATAGAGGACCTGACTTAACCTTGATGCACTTTGCACAACAAGTACTGATGGTTTTACATAGAAATTCCCTTTTGAGGAATGTACAAATTTCACCTACTTATATAAATTCAGCATTACAGGGATTACAGTGTTACTTTGCTTCAAATGAATGCAAATATGTTGCAGCTAAATTGAAGTAGGAGAAACAGTTGCACGTTTGCTACTTGGATGTTAATTTTTTGTCAGCAACCATAAAGAGAAAAAAGCAGACATTCGATGAAGCATGTGCTGTTGCTACTGCTGCAGCACAAACTGCAACTTCATTTCTCGCATCACACAACTGCTCACCTTCTTCCTGAATAATGATGTAATCCTGGCTTTGCACATTTTGCTCTACTTGTATGTGTGCAGAGCAGGAGGCTAAGTGAACGTGTGTTGGACTAATAACTTTCCACTGTGTCAGTCTGGCACCTGCAGCTCTGCCACACGTCATTACATTTACGTCAGAGGAGGAGCAGGAGAGAGGGTGACTGCTTGGACTAAGGCTGGGAATTCATCATCTCTTACTGAACTCGACTCACCTGGCTGAGGACGAGCCGAACAGAAGCACACAAGCCAGAGCAGGTGTATGAAGATGTGTCCTTTCATCGCAACACAGTCTGTGAGGGAAAAAGAAAGTTTGTCATTTACATAATTATCTTTTATCTGGTGTGATCTTGATTGTTTAAACCATACTTCATATTATACTGGAAAATACGCAATAGTGTACAATATTAAAATGTTTAATGCAGTAAATCTTTTCACAACTAAAGAAAGCTCAGGGTGCTACACAGAACAGGTCCACATCAAACTCAGTTACTTTCAGTTTGATGCAACACATACAATTCTCATTATAATTATATTAAATGTATGCAGTCCAGTGTGATCCAAAACAAATAATAAATTAGTCGTACATTGATTTAAAACTCTTTATTATTCTTTTTTTTTTTCAGTAAACTCAGAAGTGCTGTACTTTGAGTTCTAAAGGAATTAACCTTTCTTTTACCTAAACTAATTACTAAAATTCTAAAATTTCCAAAATACCTAACTGGCAACTCTAAATTGTCCCTAGGTGTAAGTGTGAATGCTTGGTGTCCCTGTGATGGAGGAGACCAGTCCAGGGTGTCCCCCCACCTCTAGCACAGTGACTGCTGGACATGGGCACCAGTGACCCCTGTGACCCAAAAAGGAAGAAATGGGTAAAGATAACGGACGGATATATAATTTTAAGTCTAACTTATAATGTTGACTCCAGTGCTTATGTGCAAACGAAATATGTTCCATTACATGTAGGGTATAAAGTTAGGGCAAAGCACAAATTAAAAATATTTTATTTTTACAACTGTTTTACGTAACTTGAAATACTTTAAAAGAGACTGAAAGAATAAATGAACTATTCTATCATACATTTAAAATCTTTGTCAATTAGTTTATCTAGATTTGGTTTTAATTTCCCTGTAAGTGTTGTTCCAACACTGGGGGTTTTATATTCATCTTACATTGATGCCAATAAATCACAAAGTGGTTAAAAACAACAGAAATAAAAGGAGGTCTCTGAGAACAGATGTTGGAGAACAGCTGTCCCAGGACCAGCTCTGAGCCAGCTGCAGTGATAAAGTTCTCTCAGTGATCATCTGGTGAAGCTGTCAGTAGGTCCAACTGACATGATTGGTCCCTAGCATCAGATTGATTCATGAGTTGTTCTGTCATTGTGTGTAGATTCACATGCATCCAGAAAATCTGACCGCCCAACAAGATGTTAAAATATTCACAAACATGCACATTACCCTGAGGAAATCTCAACAAGTTTTGCTCAGGGTTGACATACCAAAAACACAAAAAGAACAAGAGAAACATATACATACCTTACAACTATTTAAGGTCTGAAACTCCAGTTAGCTTGTGTGGAACCCCCAACTTCTCCAAGGTGAACTTCTAAAGGTTCCTAACAGAGCACTAAAGTGCAGCTCTTCTCAAACAGATGTCCTACTTCACCTCTCAGCACTGGCTGCAAGTTCAAATTCACTTTGCACCCACTATTATCCAGACATTAGCAAGAGGAGGAGCACAAATGACCGATGACACAACGCCCAGCTCAGACAGGGAGGGTGGGATGAAGGATGGGTGGAAGAGGAGGGGGAGGAGGTAAGATTGGGACAAAAAGTGGAATACAATGAAAGAGAGCAGGGTGTAAGGGTGGGTGGGGGTTAAAAATGGGGGAAGTGAAACGAGGGAAAACCAGAGTGGGAGAGAGGAGGAAGGGTGACTCACAGGAGAGTATAGCAATGAAAGTTAAATCTAAAGTGTATAGAAAACACCAACTCAAAAAAAGGAAGGAATGGGAGGAAAGAGTAAATAAAAAACAGTGACTCTTACATTTAGCCTTTTATTTGATTGCAGACAGTAAAAACCCAAGTAACAAATCCCCCCAGTCTAATAAATGTTACAGACCAGTTTGTTCTTACTCAAAATACAACACAAAAATGGTGTTTCTTTAAACTACTGCTGGCAGAGGTACTAAACCTACCAGAGTTCATGAATTATACTGCTGCTTCATCACATTTAACTTGAACTAAAACTGCATTGGAACTTCTGCTTCAGTGTTAGCTTCATTTGTCAACAACGGTGACAAGAAACTTACATTTGAGAATATTTATCCACTTTTCCAAAACCCTGGACTAGAATAGGACTTGGCTCAGCCATAGATGTAACTCACACTCCGGCCAACTCCTTTTTAGAAAATAGGGACCAGCCCCCTAGTACACAAGTGTTGTCCTAATCCTTCATGCAAATTTAAAAAGCCTAATCCACAACATTGAGTATTCTGCATCATAAGGTTGTCCACTCTTTACAAACTGCAATCATAGCTTTTTACTTCCTATTGGCAACATCTGCCCATGTAATACATTTGCTTTCCTCAAAGTCTTGAGACTCTGTCTTCTCGATGGACATGGTGACCAAATTCCTCAGTCCAATTTCACAATTTGTTGTTAGAAAGGAGATTATCGAAGCTCGGATTCAAAAACGACAGTATACCTTTCATCTAGATTGTGAAACAGCAGGTGAGATCTTCACCCTTGCATGGTAGCTTCTTCTTCTTTTGGCTTTTCCCTCTTCAGGGATCGCCACAGCGAGTCATCCTCCTCCACCTCACTCTGTCCTCTGCATCCTCTGTCCTCACTCCAACTACCTTCATGTCCTCTCTAACTGCATCCATATATCTCCTCTTTGGCCTTCCTCTGTCTTTTCCTGGCAGCTGCATTTCTAACATCCTTCTACCAATATACTCACTGTCCCTCCTCTGGACATGTCCAAACCATCTCAGTCTGGCCTCCCTAACTTTATCTCCCAGTTGTTCAACCTGTGCTGTACCTCTGATGATTTCATTCCTAATCTTATCCAGCCTCATCACTCCTAAGGAGAACCTTAGCATCTTCATTTCTGCCACTTCCAGTTCTTTCTCCTGTCTTTTTGTCAATGCCACCGTCTCCAGACCATACAATATAGCTGGTCTCACCACTGTCTTGTAAACTTTTCCTTTGACTTTTGCTGACACCTTTTTGTCACAAATCACTCCGGAAACTTTTCTCCATCCACTCCATCCTGCCTGGACTCTTTTCTTCACTTATTTACCACATTCCCCATTTTCCTGGACAGTGGACCCCAAGTACTTGAAGTCCTGAACCTTTGTGACCTCTGCTCCTTGTAGCCTCACTGTTCCACCAGCCTCCCTCTCATTCACACACGTACTCTGTCTGAGATCTTCACCCTTGCAGGGTAGCTGAGGGAGTTTAATTATCCAGTCTCCGCATGTGTTAAAGACCTGAAGGCAGTTTGGTGCTGTGACTGTGGGTCACTTTTGAGGGCCATCCATTTCCTTCAGAACCAAAACAACAGCTCTGTTGGTGCTCATGGCCAAAAGTTGAGCTCAGTCCTGATGCAGGTTAGACTCCACCAGGGCTGCTCCTTGGCTCTGATCCTGTTTGTGGTGTTAACAGGATCCTAAGCTACAGTCATGGCATAAGGTTGTCTGGTTTGGAAACCTAAGATCCTTATCTCTGCTTTGTGCAGATAATGTGGTTCTGGTGCCTCTTTAAAGCATGGCTTTCAGCATGCACTGAGCAGTTTGCAGGAACGTGTAAAGGAGCTAAGGTAAGGGTCAGCTCATTTAAGTGTGAAGTCACGGTTCCCAACACGGAACAAATGGTTAAATGCTCTGTCCAGGTTGGGGATGAGTTTGTCTAAAGTAGAGGACATTAAGTCTCTTAGTGTTTTGTTCAGACGTAAAGGCAAAATGGATCCATGAATGAATCAAGAGGCAGGAGATTCAATTGCACTAATGAGGGTGTTGCTCCAGGCTGCCTTGGTGAAGAAGGATCTGAACCAATGGTTGAAGTTCTTTAAGTACTTGTCTATGTTCTAGTCTTCACCAATGGTCATGAGACATAGATTATGACCAGAATTCAATCCCAAATACAAGCAGATGAAATGAGCTTCATTCATAGGATGGCAAGGTTCAGCCTTAGATACGGTGAAGATTTTAGTCATCTGGGAGTTCTGAGTAAAGCCACTACTTCTCCTTGTTGAAGGGTCTTGACAAAGGTGGTTAATCCTAAACCAAACCCAAAAGGGTTTTGCAACACCTGGTGGCATTAGTTATTTGCCATCAAATACAAAACCATGTGTTTAATAAGCATCACCTCATGCTAAAAAAGAAACTTCAACAGTCATGCTTTGTCACGTTGTTTGTTTAATTCTTCAGTTTTGCAAACATTTAGAAGAATTTCAATTGACAATAAATGGAATGAAGCAATTCACTTGTTCCCTTGACCCAAAAACTGTGCAGTATTTCTTTTCATTTCTCAATTTCAATACATACTTCACTGAGAACATGTCAGCTGTGCATACAGTCTAGTACTTGGGATGTCTACTACCAAGTGTCCACATTATGCTTGCGTGTGTAGATTTACGTACAAAAAACTGATGACATTTTATTCAAATGTTCACTACCCATATATTTATTTAACAAAAATATTTAAAAAATGAAAAATACAAGAAATCCTATTGGTTCAATTCATAAAATAAAATCAGAACCTTGTAGAAATTAGGTTTATGATTCACATAAAAAAACAATGTTAAAATATATTTTGCATTGTACATTCTCATCTTAGTTTAATTTATATTTCAAAAATTCTAAAAACATTAATTCTATTCTGAAGTCAGTTTGTTTATTCATTTCTTTAGTTTCCGTTTTAAAACAAACCAAAAAAATTTGTATTTGTGGTCACTTTGTAACAAACATTTAGATTTTTTTTTTTTTTATTGCCTGAGATCTTAGCACATAAGCTATAAATATGTACCATTTAGTGCTTCTGGGATTGTTGACGGTTCTACAGAAATAACTTCAGTGCAGACAACTGATCATCCAAACATTTGATTCCAAGAAGGTAAAATCGTTGCAGTTTTGTAGGCGAGGCTTTTTGGAAGTCAGAAATCCTCAAACAGGTCTTCAGCTGCCAAAGTTGCTGCTGCAGCATCTGCAGAGCGCTGGGGAGTCTGCAGCTGAGTGGATCCTGCTGAGCAGTCTGTCCTGCACAGCATGCACACACACACACACACACACACACACACAACACACAACACACACAGAAAGAGAGAGAGAGAGAGAGAGAGAGGCGGAGAGCAGGTCAGTGGGCTAATGAGCTGGTTTACAGGGGAAAATTCCTGTTGAGACAGGAAACATCATGTGACACATCAGAAGAAAGACAAGAAACACATGGTCAGCCTTTATAACCGCGTGGAGCTGAATGGCTGCAAAAGCCAAGGCCGCATGGCTCGCTGGTTGAAACGCTAAGACGTCTGATGGACTGCAACTGAAAATTTGCCTTTTCTTTCAACAACTAGTTTCTAACATACGACGGAACTTTAGGGCCACGCTAAGAAAAAAATAATTAAAAGCCATAAAATTACAAAAGTCGTATAATTACGAATAAAGTCTTGATATTACGAGAATAAAGTCATATGAGCCTTTTTTCAGCTCTCGTTTATTTATTTACCTTTTCTCCACAAGTCGGATCCACGACGCGACCTGTCAATCAATCCAGTAGGCGTGTCAGCAAATGACCAATCCGAAGCTAAATGCTCCTTACCTGCAGAGAGCTGCGCTGCAGCCCATCAGAGTGTACCACCTTAAGGCTCCGGTATACTCACGCGTCCTCTCAGCCGCGCGGAAACTGTGCGCACTCTCCGCAAAGGGTTCAGACTTCATACTCGAGCGTCCACCCTGAGCGGCTGCAGAGCAGCTCCGCAGACAAGGGGCGTTTACCTTCGGGACAAATTGAGGTCGCCGATTGGTCATTTACCAACATGCCTAATGGACTGATTGACAGGTCAGAAAAAAAAAGAGAGCTGGCAGCCCCAGCGGTGTTCTGTGTTTATATGTTGTTAATAAGAAGTTCTAAAAAAAAAAAAAAAACAGGGAGCGCTGGCCCTGCAGCCCACACATCAGAGCGACCCACCAGGAAATCTTTAGACCCTCCCGCAGCCACGCTGGGACTGATTTTAATTCGTTCATGACAAATTCCTTCATTTCTCACAATTTCAGTCATGGCATCAACGGAGGCGGTAGAGATCACTGCCTCTTGGCAAAAAACAAAACAAAAGAAAAGGCCAGATCAGGGACGAAGAAGGGGAATTTACTACATTGGTGTCACATACAAAACAGTCTGTCGCTGAGCAGTTTATTGTGCGACAAAGAGCACGCATACGCTGCCGTAAAAATTTAGCTTTGCGCAGACATGCCCTGCAGGCGTCTGCTTCAACTCTAATCTGGTACGCACGGACCTCCGCAGACTGACGTACGCGGGAGTATACTGGGGACTTTACTGTAAGCAGGTTCAAAATCCTGATACTGATAAGAATCTGATGCTGATGTGCTAATGGATGAACTATCTCATTTGTAAAACCAATACCACTACACTCAACATTCTTCATTTTACCACCATTAAAATGCGGTAAACCTGCTTTATCGTGTCAGAGTTCACATAATATTACGACTCATTTAGTTTTGGATTGGTCATTTGCTGACACGCCTACTGAATTGATTGACAGATCGCATCATGGATCAGACCTGTGAAAAAAAAAAACAAGCTGCAAAAAGACTCGTACATCTTTATTCTCGTAATATTAAGACTTTATTCGACTTAATTCTCGTAACACTACAATTGTATTCTCGTAATTTTATGGCTTTTAATTTTTTCTTCTTAGAGTGGCACTGCCTTTTTTTTTTCTTAGCGTGGCCCTAAAGCTCCGTCGTACCAACAAGCCAGACTCAGTAAGATACCTAATTTACAACAAATCAACCAGTAAACATTTGTCTATTTTGAAAATGTATATTTATCAGTTATGTGGGAAAAGTAATCCAAGTGAATATAAATAAATAAACAGGCACAACGAGTTTAGACTTATCAAACATACAATCATACAACAGGGGTGTGTGTGCATGTGGGGGGGAACAAAATAGAAAGAAATTTTATCAGTGAAATGAATTCCAACACTGTAATAAAACTACTGCAGAGTAAACAAGTATGAAGTACTTATGATAATCACCGTCCTTAGATGAAGTGTGATTTAGTTTTTTTTTTCCTGCAGCTTAAGGACAACAACCAAAATTCTCCAGCATCCTTTCCAATTCCACTCTACTGGCTGTTATAAACAGCCAGCACTCCGAGCAGCAGAACCTCCTGAACCAAACTGAGTCGAATGTTTTGTTCCTACATTAATACTAAATCAAGGGCTGAAGGAGCTCCAACCATTTATGTATTGTGTAACATCTTTTAAGTACTCATTCACATTACATGTGGTACATGAGGTGGAATGAAATTGTGCACTCAAGGTCCCAGTTAACACACAAAAACTGCAAAAATATAAAGTATAAAAAGAAACCGTATACTTGTATAAGGATCTAAGATATACAGTAAGACATACGCTAAACGAACGCTAAATGATATGGTAAAAGATTCAAGATATACGCTAAACACTAATAATGTAAAATAATACGGAATTTTAAACAGCAGCCCGAACATGAGTCTGTAGTGAGCAGATGGGTATGAATACACCAGCATAAAGGCAAGAGATTATCAGCATGGATAATCCGTAGCACAGATAAATTACATATCACTAAAGTTGCATTCGGGCCCCAAAAATCTGCCCTGACCCTGCCCCAGCCCATAGCCATAATTTCTGAACCCCACCCAACCCGACGAATTAACAGTAATTACAGGTGCGAACCTGAACCCCCCCACCCCCGACATTTTTAATTTAGCTTTGACTGCTTATATAGTTATAAACGGTCGGTGGACGCGCACAGCTAAGGGGGTAGAAGATCGGAGCTGAGTGGGTGTTTGTCCTTTCAGGTCTGTCAAAGCACATTAAATCCCTGCTTCTGCCTGCATTCTGCATTACTCAGACATGGACCCTGCTCTGACATGTCAGATAATTTGTGATCTCATGTACCACTGTTTGGGTCATTGGCCGCGAGCGTCCGCTGAGTGCAGTGGCTGAATGAACGTCTATTTGAGCTTATGGATCGCTGGCAGTAGTCCCATCTGAAGCTTAACTGAACTTTTTACCTCTTTCAAGGCCGGTCAGTACATGGTCAAATGGCTGCACGTGGCTGGTGATTGTATGGCAAGCCATGATGCCATATAATTGGATTGTCGCGTCCACTGATGCAATCAAAAGCCCGACATCGACCTGGCCTGCACATTAAGCGCATTATTATGGCCCGGCCCTAATCCGGGTTGGGCCGGGCCGGGCTCAGGGTTCAGGTTAGAAATGACAGCTCTACATATCACCAATTGAAGTGGCATTACAGTGATTTTTTTCTCTCCTTACAGTGATCTTGAAAAGACCACTGATAATTATACCACATAATATTTACATATAGTCTACTTTTAGTGTAACTCAAGTTTGCTAATCAGCATCATAACTTCACCTCCTACATAATTTGGCCAGCAGATCAGAACACATCTGCATCGTAAACAGATCACACTGGAGTATCCCAACATTGTGGAAAAGTTTAAACAACATTTCCCTTGGATACAACCTTGAATTTGATTGGTTGATCAACCCATCTTTCTGCTTTAATTTGTTTAAATGATCTGTAAATTGACTTGTGTTTACCAACTAATGATCCGAAACGATCATTAAGATAACAGTTAATTTGGAGCAGATGGAAAAAAAGCATTTTATCCAACATTTCTCACCTTCATGAGTCTAAAATAATGTGACCCAAGGACTACAGACAATCCATCATAAGCTGCTGTTTGAAGAAAAACAACAAAATATGGCAACAAGAACTTCCAGGTGGACTTTCTCTAATCCTGCCTCACTGATACCATTAAAAACTGAACATAGATGAGAATAAAAGGCCCAGAGCTTATTCAATTCATTAGAAACTGAATGAAGAGTGCTGCTGCACTGCTGGAACCAGTTAAGATGAAACGGGAGACATATTTCAGTAGAGAGGCGAGCTGGAGCTGGTGTGTGCTGCCACAGAGGACCACCAGGGTCTTGACAGAGGGGGGGCAAGACAAGAGCGAGTTTTTTTTTTTTTAATCCCCAAGAGAAAAAGTTAAACCCTGGTGTAGTAAGCATGCAGAAGCCCCCACACAGATCTGGTCTAAGCCAAAGTAATAGTTATGAGTTTGTGACTGGAGAAACTAAACAGAGCGTCAGATTGGGCTGACCTAGGCAGGACGGTTTGTTCTGACCCAGTGAAGAACCAAAGAGAACACCTACTGGGTTTTTTGTGCTAAGAGAGCAGGGTTCCTTTGTCTTTGGATTCATCTTTTATCATATTAATTAAAAAAAATAAATCAAACTGTGGCTTTATGTATACATAGCATCCCAGTGATGTGAAAACAGCCAGTTTATTTGTATATAGAGCCTGTTCAGTGACAAAAGAGCACAACAAAAGATCACAGTTTACTGTGTTCGGCTATGGTAAATGGTAAATGGTAAATAGACTGTGCTTATATAGCGCCTTTCTATCTTATCAAGATACTCAAAGCGCTTTACAACACAATCTGTGCCCTCATTTATCCATTCGTGGATTCAAACCCCCAACTCTTGCATTGGAGGGCGATTGCTCTAACCACCAGCTGCCCATTAAAGGTTATGGGAGTAAACATAGATGATCATATTAATGTTGTTATCTTGCTAAATATTACTATGAAGCTATTAGATATGTTTGAAAAACTTTCAGAATAAACATTTGAGAGGAAATGTGAGGCTTGGATATATGTGCAATTATAGATGTAAAAAAAAATAAAAAAATTACGAATAGGAAATGGCCAGGTGTTCTTACACGACAGTGTACCAAATGGCTACATGTAGCTACCACTCTTGTGTGCTGAGCAGCAGGGAGCCAGTTCTCTGTACTCTGACATCATTCTATTTGGCAGAGCTACCAGTGCTGATGCAAAACAAGACTCTTGTCGTTGTCTTGGCTTAGCCAAGTCAAGTGTTTTAGTTCTATTAACACTGATGCTATGTACAATCAGCTGTTTTTAAATGTGTATTTTATAT